TTCAAAAGTGTTAACGGCTGTCTTGATTAATATTATATGTTACTATTTATTTCCAGCTGTAAATTTAAAAATTAAGTGTAAACAGTCGGTCGAGCATCCCCCGAAACATTTATTCCAAAATATTTTGATTGGTCCATCTGTCCAACACAAAATCTTGGTACACTCAATTTTAAAATTTGTATTGTTAAATGCGCCTAGTCTTAAAATATTTTTTTTATAAAAATTGATATTGAGACGGAACATTTAGAACAGTTGTCAAGAATTTCTATTGCGGTATTTAAAGAGTATTCATCTTGTAAGAAGAACACGGTATCATCTGCTAACTGACTTATTTTTATTCGATTATTTTCAACATTAATACCTTTAAAGTTTATATTTTGCCTCAGTGATAATCCTTATATTTCTAAGCGGCAATCCTGTCGGAGTCCCTCGAAAGCTTAAAATAACTCAAAGTGAACCATTGTTAATAACACAGTTTGAAATACCATTATACTTAAATTTATACCAAGTTTTAATAATTTCTCTAGAGTCAAATTTTTAGAGGGTCTTTTCAACAAATTTCCATTTTTTTTTTGACGGAATGCTTTTTCGAAATCAACAAATAATAAATGTTTTTTTTTTTAGCATTCTTTATTACATCTAATACTAGTCGGATATTTTCACATTTTATTGTTATTATTATTTGGTATTAGTATTATTATATAATTTCTCTGCGTTGAGAGGAAGATAACATACCTATATGTTGGGAATACGAAATTGATTGCATTAAAATATTTTAACATCATTAAAGAACACCGGTAAGTAAACCATCTATATCAGGACATTTATTGTTTTTCATTAACTTTCTTGCCGCTATATATTCTATTTCTATAATTTCTGCGTTACAATTCTGAAAATCATTTTCTGGGATTTGTTCACATTCAACAGTATCCAATAAATGTATTATTTTAATATCACTAACATCAAATTATAAAGATTTGACCATGACCTTCAACTTAATTTCAAAAATCATATAAAAGAAGTTGAACTGAAAATAGAAAAAAATATTGGTATTATTTATCGTCTTTCTTTCTTTCTTCCAAGTCATATACGTATCTGCATTTATTAATCCCTTGTTTTTTTTTATTAGTTACTGCGACATTATCTGGTGGGCAAACAATTACAAAACAAATCTTTAACAAATTCACAAGCTCCAAAAAAAAGCAGTTCGTATAATATCAGATACTCCATTCCTTGCTCACTCTGTTCCCCCTTTTCTTTGCTTTAAGTCAGTTGTCTGTTTTCGATATAAATATTTTACAACTATCTTTGTTTATGAAGCTAGTAATTCCCTTCTCCCTACCAACCTTTGCCTCTTCTTTAAAAACTCAGATTTACATCCTTACAGGCCTAGTAGTAGTAGTAGATGAAGGCTTGAATGAAGAGGCCTGGCCTAGCCTAAGGCCAGGCCTAGCTGTACCGGTAATACTAGCCTAGCCGCTGTACAGAGACAAACAGAACTGAGGTTCCCTGTTCTCTCCAGGGCCTAGGTCCTGTATATAACCTGGGTCTTATGTTGGCCTAGCCATGGCAGTAAGTTAATTACCCCATAGTCTAGCATGCCATAAGAAAAGTTGTAAATTGCATTTATTAGGCCATGTCCTCAATAATGTCCATGATGCTTTAAAAAAATAATTATGTTTAACCGGGTTGGGGGGGGGGTGTAAAAATTGTATTATTATTTACAGAAAGTAATCACTAGGCCTATACTAACATGAATGGTGATTTTATTTCAGGATACTCAAGTCTCAGTTACTACTGTAAGTGAAAACTCAATCCGATCAACTCAATCATTGTAGTAGGAAAGCATTAATGTTTGTTTGAAGACGTATGTGAAGGAACAGAAAATTACCTGACATTCTAAGGTGAATATACTGTAATGTTTTGTTTACGTTTTATGTTTACTGTCCTATACTATTATTAGGAACATGCTTTAGATGATGCTGTAGTTACATGATAAGAGTTTAATCAAATAATCAAATTTAATGTGTATGTATAATTATTAGGCCAATATAGGCCTTAAGGGATATTTAAATTGTAATGTAGGCCTAAGCTGTTTTGAGAACTAAAAGACAAATGGAACTAGTAATTTTCTTTTGATTACAAAAGAAGTAACTGCTAGTCTCTTATTAGCTACATATATGTATATCACTCCTATTTCAATACAATAATTCCAAAAGGAATACATTTAATAGAAGTTTCTATACTATGCGCTCTTTATACTGTATAAGTCGACCGTTATTATTCTTTTTAAGGATTTTGTTTTGTTATATCTTTCAGCAAGAATGAAACTCTGAAAAATGTTAGTACAAGTCACTGTGTCACTGTGATTCAATATTTCTAACTAGATTTGTTCAACGGCATAATTCATACAATTTAGCTTAGTACCACCGGACAAAAAAAGGCATGGTTACAATATCACAAAGAATACGCGCTACCTGGGCCTAGGCTAGGTCTAGCCTGGTGGGCCTAGGACTGTATAATATAAAAGTATTATCACTTACAGGTACCTCTCATTGTTTACGGCTGAACATCTTTAAACAATCTTGCAAAAGTCCGCAGGCCTAGTAGTAGTACCGTATTTAGCCTAGGCGTAGGTTTGTTTTTTTGTTTTAATTGCCTTTTTTTACTGTCTTTCACTGTAGGCTATGCAGCAAGCAAACAATTCACATCCTATTTTTTGGTTGATGATAAAGCAATCTTGAATTTTGCGATTTCGGTAAAAGATGCTGAAGGTCAGGAAGATCGAAAATTTCGTCTTCACGGTTCAAGTTTCTACTAGGGCCTATATCATATCCATGTCTGTGTCCTTGCGCTATGAATGACTGAATTAAAAATATGTTTTTCTAGCTAGCGCTTTATTACAAAATTATAACTTTTGTTTGTTACGTGCGCACACACTGTCACATGTATAAAACGCGCGAACACTCTTCCTGTCCATTTTTAATACACATGAACTATTTATGATGGAAGAATAAGGATTTATAATACGTACAGTACCTATACCTAGAAAAAAAACCCCAAAAAACAGATCGGATTTTCCCATTCCAAAGTGAGTAACGACAAAAGAGACAGCTGTGAAGGTTTACGACTTCAAATTTATTGTGATGTTTCTATGCACGTTGAGACCAAGTCGGCTATGCTAGCCTATGTTATGGCCTAGGCATGTCTAAAATATATTACATAGGCCTAGGCCTACAACTAAATGTTATAAGCATGGAGGAATTAGTTGTGTAACACGTTACAAAGACGTAACAAAACAACGATAATTCAATAAACAATACATATGAGTAGGTACTGTTGTAGGTGTAGTCTAGGCCAACAGTAATGTGTTATAATTCATTAAGATTTCACCTCATTTACTGTACCTTTTTTATTTACTCGCGAGAGGCCGCCTTATAAGTTATTATTAAGTGTGGCCTACCTCCTTCTAGCCTAGGCCTAGTCCTAATACAGTAATACTGTATTATTATTATTATTATTATTATTATTATTATTATTATTATTATTATTAAATTTCATATATCTATTAATATTAACATACAATATTTAGATTTCCTTAAATTTTCCAACTTTTGTCAAATGTTGTTGTAACGAATGTGGAATCACCCCTGGCACCATATTACTTGATCGGTATTAGAAATGGAGCACACATTGATTATAAACAAATGCTTGAAAACCAAGGTGGATAGTAGTGATACATCCTGTCATGTCGATCTTTTCCATTTTTGCTACAATGACTAGTTTCTCATTGTCAGTGTTTAGATTCTTTTGACGGATTGATTTTTCAATTGGTGATGACGGGTACAAACGCACCTGGCCTAGTACTGTACTAAAACAAAATAAAATATTGTAGTACTATTCAGTGCAATAACATAGTAACTATCACCATCAGTGTGATCTCTATCACGGGGTGTAGGTCAATGACGACTCAAACACGGATATAATTTTGATGATTAATTTTATTAATCTGGATCTGATAGCAGATTTTCGTTGAACGTTCCAATTTAACAATCAAATTGATCTGATTGATCCGGTTTAAACTGTAAATAAATTAGTAAACGGTTGGGAATATATAGATAATAGACTATAGTAATTCTTAGCTCAGAGTACAATAGTGTAAGTTAAATCAAATAGATTATATTGCTAAATGTAGCATCATTGTAAGTATTTGCAATCATCCAGTCAAACAACTAAATTTAACTAAAGGTATACTAAACTACACATGTATAGAAACATAGCAAACAGGATGTGTTGGTCAGGATACTGATACACAGCATTTGCACAACACAATAATTAAGGAAGGACATCCCAGATATACTAAAGTAAATTCCTTCACTGTTGCAAAGGAAAATTACCTTGACCACTCTTACTCAAGCAAGCTCAGTCAAGCGGAACGCCCAAATGAGTAGGTACCATATACAGCAAATTCAATATGCTAAGAAGTAACATGATATGCTATACTGTACTTAATGCAACTCTATCGTACAACTATGTACAGTACTAAGTTTCAAACATAATTCTCTAAAAACTATTATCTACACTAAATCATAAGTACTAATCACAAAGGAGGCTATGTAATTCACTTGTAAAATTAGTTAAATCATGATAACTTGGATCAATCTCAACTTAACATTTGAACTTAATGCTGTTCATCATATATGATCCATTTAATTAATTATATTATGTGTATAAATTCATAAAAATTATACTAAATTTAGGTCCAGTAGCATAAAATAAACAATTAACATATAAACTTACGTCTTATCATCCTACACATTGAAAAAGTTTGAAATAATGAGCAACTTGTACACAGTAAGACTGAATAGATGTTGAAGATTGAACTGCTACTTGTAGAATGCCTTCTTATCTTTATGTGAAGGTCGTTACACAATGGGCCTGTGGGAGGCCAATAGGGCTATGGAAGCCCATTGTGGACTTACATTCCGGCCCCTTAAAGGCGACGTGGCCTTTACAACTAAAATCAATGAAATTAATTAAATATTAAACTACTCTCGACTAAACAGTAAGTAAATTAATTGTCGTCAGAAGTTTCCAGTGACACAATTTTTGTGATAGGTTTCACAAATGTGGATGACTGGGTCTTGACCTTCGCAGATCTAAGTAGTCCATCTCGGCTGTTGGTGAACACTTCCACGATACGACCTAATGGCCAACTACTACGAGGAACATTTTCGTCCAAGATTAAAACAATGTCGTCAACCTTCAAGTTCGGTTTAATGCTGTGCCACTTGGTTCGGTGTTGAAGGGATAGCAAATATTCTTTGAGCGAACGCCGCCAGAAAACATTTGATAAATACTGGATTTGTCTCCAACGTTTATTGCTGTACATGTCCTCTCGGACAAAGTGGACTGGGGGAACCTTTGAACCTGCTCGTAGCAACAGAAGGTGATTCGGTGTCAATGGTTCAGCATCCTTTGGGTCATCAGATACCTTGGTGATGGAACGACCATTCACTATGGACTCAACTTCGCACAAAAGCGTTATTAGCCCTTCATCGTCCAAAGGCTGTTCTTTTATCAGAGACTTTAGCACCTTCCTGACGGTCCTTATATTTCTCTCCCAAACACCTCCATGATGAGATACAGTTGGAGGGTTGAATTTCCAGACTATTTGTCTCTGTAACAAATAATTATGAATCTGCTGCTGATTCCATTTTCCTATTGCTTCACGTAATTCCCGTTCTTCTCTTACAAAATTGCCACTGTCGTCAGAGCGCATTTGCTTAGGCATTCCTCGTCTTGCCACGAACCGCCTCATAGCGTTGATGAAGGAGCTTGTATCGAGTGTGTTCGCTACCTCGAAATGATAGCCCTCACCGATAAACAAGTGAATATTACCCCATATCGTTTGGTAAGTGATCTTCCACGTTTTACTTCGAATGGCCCAAAGCAGTCCACTCCTACATACGTGAATGGTGGTTCTGTCGGTTTTATTCGATCTTCTGGTAGGTCCGACATTTTCTGTGTCATTGGTGCTGCCTGATTTTTCTTGCATGTGACACAAATTCTTACTACGCTTTTTACCGTGACCATGCCATTGACTAGCCATAGACCATCTCTTATTAATGCCAGCACATATTCTGTGCCGGAATGGCCACTGATTTTGTGGTTATGCTCGGCAATCAACTTCACGACATGATGGTTTTTGGGCAAAATGATTTGATGTTTGAAGCTTTCCCCAATTGAAGCATTGCGTAACCTACCACCGACTCTCAAAAGACCTTCTCTCAGAATTGGGTCCAACCGCAAGATACTGCTGTCCTTAATCGATTTCTCTTTTTCAAGACACTTGATTTCTTCAGGAAATTCCCTCCTCTGCAATTATTTGAATATTGCATTATCAGCAGCAATCAACTCATTCACCCCAATAGGTTGAGGCTGACAATTAGTAAATTTTGACTTACTGATCTGGTCCATAGTTCTTCTTACAGCTTCACGAAGATTTTCCTTGTATCGAAGGAAGCAACAGCAGCGTTAACATTCTTTACTTCAGGATCATTCTGATCGATTATGTAGTTATGAGAAAACTTGGGCCATTTTTCTTTATCATTTTTTAAGAACTCAGGCCCCTGTAGCCAAGTCTGGTTATCAACAAGCAATATATGCTCCACTCCTCTCGACGCCAAGTCAGCCGGGTTGTGCTGCGAAGCAACATGCTGCCACTGATCTTCATGGGTTGTGTTAAGTATTGTTGAAAATCTATTAGCAACAAATGTGTGGTAACGGGCATCCTTGTTTTGCAAATATTTCAGAACACATGTACTGTCGGTCCAGAAAACTGATCGATCGATTTGAACGCCCTTCAGTTCATCACGAATAATGGTGTCTAACCTTGCTTTTGTTGGTGCTAGTCTAGATTTTGCCATGACTAACATACAAGATGTGTTACCCTTTGCATCTTTCTGTCGAAGATACGATGCTGCACCATAACCAACCATTGACGCATCAGAGAAATGGTGAAGTTCTCTACTAACAATAGCTCCCTTTACTACGGATTTGACACATCTTTGGATCTTGATTTTTTTTCAAGTGTTGGCAATTCGGAGAGCCACTGATTCCATTTAGATTTGAGGTCTGGTGGAGCTTCATCATCCCATCTTACTCCTCTTTTACAGAGTTCCTGTAAAATGCACTTGGCTGGTAGTACACATGGCGAAACGAATCCTAAGGGATCGTATATCGAACTGACTGTAGACAGAAGGCCACGTTTGGCGTAGTTTGGCGAGGTCTGGGATTTATGGCATAACCTAAGCTGTCTTCCTCATCAAACCATCTGACACCTAAGGCTCGCTCATTGACGTTGTCACCTAGCAGCATTGATTTAGAGTTTTCTGCATCAGGTAAAGTTGAGTGTACGTTTGCAGAATTTGATACCCATTTGGTTAGTTTAAACCCTCCTGCAGCAAGCAGTTGTCGTAATTCGGCAGCCAGCTTAACAGCTTCTGCTTCTGATGCGACAGATTTCAGGCAATCATCGACATAGAAATTTTGATGTACTGTCTCTATTGTTGACTTGTCAAAGTGGGATCGGTTGTCATCCGCTGTTTTCTTCAAAGCATAGTTTGCGCAACTTGGTGATGATTTCCCACCAAATAGATGGACTAGCATTTGATATTCCTCAGGAGGAACGTTATAGTCATCGGTCGGCCACCACAGAAACTTGAGATAGGTTGCATCGGAATCCTTCACCTTAACTTGGTAGAACATCTTCTCGATGTCTGCCATGACAGCAAATTTCTCAAGTCTAAACCGCAACAGCACACCAATAAGAGTATTTGTTAAATCAGGGCCTTGTAGAAGTTGGTCGTTTAGTGACGTTCCTTGATGCTTTGCGGAGCAATCGAAAACGACACGCACCTTGTCTGGTTTCTGTGGGTGGATAACGGAGTGATGTGGGAGATACCAGCCAGGAGCACCTAATTCGTCATTGTTTACCTTTCTTGCATATCCTTTATCTAACAGCTCCCTCATGAATTCTGTATACTTCATACGTAGATCATCATTGTTCTGGAGTTTTCTCTTAAGTGACTCCAACCTACGGTATGCTACAGCACGATTATTTGAAAGATTTGGTGGATAGGTCTTCCATGGCATTCCGATAACATACTTTCCATTACTCAGTGTAGCACTGGTTGCCATAGTTTCTAACGCTTTTCTGTCGTTAGTTGACATTTCGATTCTTGACTTGCTGATGTCACTGAATTCTACCTTGCAAAACTGCTTAAACTGGTCGTCCAGGGAAACATGGTCTAAATCGATGAAGTTGCAAGATGGGTTATGTGGATTACCATTGAGCGGACCATTGACGACCCAACCCATAATAGTTCTAGTAGCATATGGACCTCCATCCAAGGATGATCTTACTTCCAATGGCTGTAGAAGTTGGGGTATGTCACTCCCGATAAGCAATCCCACATCGGCCTTGATATCTCTTAGAACTACATCATTCAGATGTGGCCATTTGGTTAAATCATCCTGATTTGCTATAACAGATCTTGTTATGGGTAGATTGGGTCTTGAATATACCGTTGGTAATGATGTACAATTATTACCATCTAAATCCAGGATTTCCAAAGAGGTCATTTTGCATTTCATAGGTGTCTCACCGTTCATTGTTGTTAAAGACATGTTCACATGGCTGCATTTAGCATTGAGTTTCTTCAACAAGTCATCGGTACAAAAGGTAGTGTTGGACCCATTGTCTAGAAATGCATAAGTGACGACACTCTTGCTGAAGCCTGCCACTTTCACACGAACAGGCACTACTGCTAGCCCTATTCTTGATCCTTTGACACCTGCTGCCATATTCAGCTTGTCTTTTGCTTCGGGCGATTTTACTTCAGCATTGGCTGGTGTAGTCGCTGATTTAGTCGGATGTAAAAATGTTGAATGCTTGTCTGAAAAAAGCTTGCAGAAACTGTTTTTAGAGCAAGTTGAAGCGAAATGTCCTGGTGTCAGGCAGTTTCTACATAACCTTTTTTCCTTTATCACATTCAAGCGACCACCTAAGGACATTTTCTTGAACGTTTCACATCTCGGCAGGAAATGGCCATGCGAGCATAGAGGACAGGTTGGTGAGTTAGGTGCAGAGTTGGGTTTTCCTTGTTGAGCATAAACAGTTCCCTTCTGCCCCTGCTGTTTTGGTTTGTTGCTTCCTTCTACGACACCAAATACTGGATGTGTAGTTGCCCTTGCTTTATCTGCAATGAATTCCGACATATCGTTTATGTTGACGTCCCTTTTTTCTTTCTGAATAATGCGGTCCACGGAGTCCTTCCATGCGAGCCGTAGTCTGAATGGCAGCTTGCTGATAATTTTACGCATATTTTCTGGAGATTCCAATTTTGAAGAACATCCTATTTCTTTTAGGATGTTAATGCACTAGCCAGATTGGCTAAGAATTCCCTCAGACCATTTGAATCCTCTGCCTTTAGTGGCTTAGCTTCGACAATCCATTTATGTAGGCAGCTGCGATGATGTATGGCCTTCCATACTTGTCTTCCAGCATTTTCTTTGCATGCTGGAATCCATCCTTCATAGTTAAACAACTATCATCAGCATCTGGACTTCTCCCTTGGTATATTGAATTAGATAATGCAGCTTCATTATGTCGTTCGGGAGCCGCGACTCTACAAAATTGACGAAAGAGTTCATAAATTGAGAGTATTCTGTTGGGTCGACCAGCCAGGAGCACCTAATTCGTCATTGTTTACCTTTCTTGCATATCCTTTATCTAACAACTCCCTCATGAAGTCTGTATACTTCATACGTAAATCATCATTGTTCTGGAGTTTTCTCTTAAGTGACTCCAACCTACGGTATGCTACAGCACGATTATTTGAAAGATTTGGTGGATAGGTCTTCCATGGCATTCCGATAACATACATTCCATTACTCAGTGTAGCTGGTTGCCATAGTTTCTAACGCTTTTCTGTCGTTAGTTGACATTTCGATTCTTGACTTGCTGATGTCACTGAATTCTACCTTGCAAAACTGCTTAAACTGGTCGTCCAGGGAAACATGGTCTAAATCCAAGAAGTTGCAAGAAGGGTTATGTGGATTACCATTGAGCGGACCATTGACGACCAAACCCATAATAGTTCTAGTAGCATATGGACCTCCATCCAAGGATGATCTTAATTCCAATGGCTGTAGAAGTTGGGGTATGTCACTCCCGATAAGCAATCCCACATCGGCCTTGATATCCCTTAGAACTACATCATTCAGATGTGGCTATTTGGTTAAATCATCCTGATTTGCTATAACAGATCTTGTTATGGGTAGATTGGGTCTTGAATATACCGTTGGTAATGATGTACAATTATTACCATCTAAATCCAGGATTTCCAAAGAGGTCATTTTGCATTTCATACGTGTCTCACCGTTCATTGTTGTTAAAGACATGTTCACATGGCTGCATTTAGCATTGAGTTTCTTCAACAAGTCATCGGTACAAAAGGTAGTGTTGGACCCGTTGTCTAGAAATGCATAAGTGACGACACTCTTGCTGAAGAGGCACTACTGCTAGCCCTATTCTTGATCCTTTGACATCTGCTGCCATATTCAGCTTGTCTTTTGCTTCGGGCGATTTTACTGCAGCATTGGCTGGTGTAGTCGCTGATTTAGTCGGATGTAAAAATGTTGAATGCTTGTCTGAAAAAAGCTTGCAGAAACTGTTTTTAGAGCAAGTTGAAGCGAAATGTCCTGGTGTCAGGCAGTTTCTACATAACCTTTTTTCCTTTATCACATTCAAGCGACCACCTAAGGACATTTTCTTGAACGTTTCACATCTCGGCAGGAAATGGCCATGCGAGCATAGAGGACAGGTTGGTGAGTTAGGTGCAGAGTTGGGTTTTCCTTGTTGAGCATAAACAGCTCCCTTCTGCCCCTGCTGTTTTGGTTTGTTGCTTCCTTCTACGACACCAAATACTGGATGTGTAGTTGCCCTTGCTTTATCTGCAATGAATTCCGACATATCGTTTATGTTGACGTCCCTTTTTTCTTTCTGAATAATGCGGTCCACGGAGTCCTTCCATGCGAGCCGTAGTCTGAATGGCAGCTTGCTGATAATTTTACGCATATTTTCTGGAGATTCCAATTTTGAAGAACATCCTATTTCTTTTAGGATGTTAATGCACCCAGCCAGATTGGCTGAGAATTCCCTCAGACCATTTGAATCCTCTGCCTTTAGTGGCTCAGCTTCGTCAATCCTTTTTATGTAGGCAGCTGCGATGATGTATGGCCTTCCATACTTGTCTTCCAGCATTTTCTTTGCATGCTGGAATCCATCCTTCATAGTTAAACAACTTTTCATCAGCATCTGGACTTCTCCCTTAGTATATTGAATTAGATAATGCGGCTTCATTATGTCGTTCGGGAGCCGCGACTCTACAAAATTGACGAAAGAGTTCATAAATTGACAGTATTCTGTTGGGTCGCCTCCATATGGTGGAATTGTTGGGTTTGGCAGTTGCTGTTGTTTACAGAGGCTTAATAGTGCCTCGCTCTGCTTTTCCTAAGCTGCTAACATTCTCATGTTAAGCTCGGCGATTGTTGCAGCTGTAGATTGATTGGATGAGTTCATTTGAACTTGAGGTTTTGATTCAGCACTCACATTTACTCGTCTAGTATTGACAGGTATGCTGGAAGTCTGCACATTCCGAATTTGTGAAGCTCCGTTGGCCATGTCTTGTGATTGTGCATTCTCCATAGTCTCAATTCTTACATTAGTTGCCTGTGCAACTGTATTATTTGCATGGATTGATTGTACATCCTGAAAAGTTGTTGATGGCATTCATTGACTGCATGCTCTGTGTTTGAGCAACTTTGGATGTGTGACCATGCATAGTTGTGTTGACAGCATTGGTTGTTTCACCAATGTGATTCTGGGCAGATGCTGTAATGTTTGGTAACTCAATATCTTCCTTTGGCATTTCAGCGCTTGGTATGTGCGTTTGATGTTGAACCTGTGTAGTCTTCACCATGGTGCTGGTATTTGTCTGCAAGGTTGCTGATTCTGCGGTACCTCTTGACTGCGGGGCTGCATCTAACGGGAGTTCCTCCAACCCAGTAGCACCCCAAAATAGGTCATTAATAACCAAGTCGGGGTCTTGCATTTCTCCAATTTGCGAAATTGGTTCTTCGAATTCCCTATAAACGGCTTCCTCGGCCTTTGCTTCTTCCATTTCCATCTCCATTGCAAGCCTGGCCTTTCTCTGTTTTAGCTGAAATTCTTCAAGCTCGAGGTCTTGTAATTCCCTTAGTTTGGCTGCTCGAGCCCTTGCTTTTGCCATCCTTGCTGTTGCTCGAGCAAGCGAGCTTGCTGTTGAATGCATCGATGACACTTGGCTGACAGAATCCATGGTCGTTCATGAAGACTTTAAACTTTATGTGATCTCTATCACGGGGTGTAGGTCAATGACGACTCAAACACGGATATAACTTTGATGATTGATTTTATTGATCTGGATCTGATAGCAGATTTTCGTTGAACGATCCAATTTAACAATCCAATTGATCTGATTGATCCGGTTTAAACTGTAAATAAATTAGTAAACAATTGGGAATATATAGATCATAGACTATAGTAATTCTTAGCTCAGAGTACAATAGTGTAAGTTAAATCAAATAGATTATATTGCTAAATGTAGCATCATTGTAAGTATTTGCAATCATCCAGTCAAACAACTAAATTTAACTAAAGGTATACTAAACTACACATGTATAGAAACATAGCAAACAGTGGTCAGGATACTGATACACAGCATCTGCACAACACATTAATTAAGGAAGGACATCCTAGATATACTAAATTAAATTCCTTCACTGTTGCCAAGGAAAATTACCTTGACCACTCTTACTCAAGCAAGCTCAGTCAAGTGGAAACGCCCAAATGAGTAGGTACCATATACAGCAAACTCAACATGCTAAGAAGTAACATTATATGCTATACTGTACTTAATGCAACTCTATCGTACAACTATGCACAGTACTGAGTTTCAAACATAATTCTCTAAAAACTATTATCTACACTAAATCATAAGTACTGTAATCACAAAGGAGGCTAAGTAATTCACTTGTAAAGTTAGTTAAATCATGATAACTTGGATTAATCTCAGCTTAACATTTGAACTTAATGCTGTTCATCATATATGATCCATTTAATTAATTATAATATGTGTATAAATTCATAAAATCTATACTAAATTTAGGTCCAGTAGCATAAAATAAACAATTAACATATAAACTTACGTCTTATCATCCTACACATTGAAAAAGGTTGAAATAATGAGCAACTTATACACAGTAAGATTGAATAGATGTTGAAGATTGAACTGCTACTTGTAGAATGTCTTCTTATCTTTATGTGAAGGTCGTTACACAATGGGCCAATTGGAGGCCAATAGGGCTATGGAAGGCCATTGTGGACTTACAATCAGTAATAATAAATAATAATATTATTGCCCTATTTACTACTTTTGACCTACGCACTTGTCTCTCAACAAAGACGTCTGTAATTTCTCTAATTAAACAGGATGCATGGACTGAAACGCCCATTTATAGATAGGTGCACACCAATTCAAGCCCAGTCCGCTGCCCACTTTGGGGCCTAGAAAAAGTTCGTGGATGTGGTGGTAGCTATGTGCTTTCTTTCTGACGTACACCGCTGTCTCTTATACACATCTAGATGTGTATAAGAGACAGACTACCCGGCAGAACGAAAGAAGGAAACTCCGCTTTTCAGTTGTCTCAGGCGATTGATTTTTGACAAACAATGACCTTTCAGAGGTCAAATTGCTGTCAAGAATATGAATTGGCTGCTTCGCAGCAACAATCTATCGACACGACGAGAGGCTCGCTCTCTCATGCTCCCACACCAACTAGCCTAGGCCTACCCAAAGGGTTCGGATTCGTAATAATATTATCATCTTCTGTATTTTTTTATTTTTTTTTTCATACCAAGACTCATATAAATAAGGATGGACAACAGCTAACGTCATTATCTTCCTTATCTGTTGTTTCTTTATACGATGAGGATGGGGTGAAATATTCTCCGTTTAACCACATGCTCGCTTTTTTTCTTCCTCCGCTAGACCTACCGTCGCAGTGTTTATTTTGATTTCGCGCTTGGATGATTTTTGGCAAAGTCGGTCACCAATGACGTCATTGAGTGACCTCTTTGTTTCTAAGGTCTTTCAAAAATGACACTTCAAACTCATTTGTTCGTACAAAATCAATTTTATTCGTAATATATGATCAACACTTGTGTTTATAATATATTCATAAATATAAACACGCTGTAGTTTATAAAAATTGTCAGAATAGGTGGCAGAGGCACTTTAATCACGAGATGAAGCCCATCTTGAATTGAAACCCCTCTTTAGTTTGTAAAATTAGCCTCGAAAGAATCCTATGGGCTTCTTTTCAGGATAGCATAGGTTTTTTTCCGAGACAGTACATACACTGTACATGAATTTAAAAAAAAAATAAACTGAAAACAAGCCTGGTTTATAGGCCTACAGTAGTTTTGGTGATTTAATGCCAGTCAAATACACTCCATGATACAGATTGATGTTACAATGACCTTATTTATTGTTTCATAGTACGAATTCACAAACTTTGATATCTGTGTAAGCTGAGCACAATATTCGGTACTAGAAAGGTTTTGAACACAAGTAACCGAAAAATAAATCATCTAAATATGCCACTTGTAACAAATTCATCCATTAACATGTCGGCGAATCGTCCTGTCGGTAAACTTGCATTTGGCGAAATGTTGTGTCGGCAAAATCTCGTGTCGGCGAATGGTATTTCGGTCAATAGTCTGTAGGCCAATGTCTGTCGGTGAATCATCTAAACATGCCACTATGTGATACATCCATCCATTAACACGTTCAAAAAATGTCGGCGAATTCGCTGTCGGGAAATTGATTGTCAGCTAACCGCCTTTTCGGCAAACTGGCATTCGGCGAAATGTTGTGTAGGCAAAATCTCGATTCGGCGAATGCTATTTCGGTCGATAGTCCATATGCCAAATGTCTGTCGGTGAAACGTCAGGCCACGAAAATTAATCATCTATAACATGCCATCTGGTGGCACATGCATCCATTAACATGTTCACAAAAAATGTCGGCGAATTGTCTGTCGGCAAATTGGCTGTCGGAAAATTGGCTGTCGGCAAATTGGCTGTCGGCAAACTGGCATTTGGCGAAATGGTATTTCTGTCGATAGTCTCTAGGCCAAATGTCTGTCAGCCAAATGTCTATCTGTGAAACGTCCGGCCACGGACTGGGCAACAACAACAAAAATTCAATTCTTTGGGGACAAACAAAATTGATTAAATAAGCATTTGCAACCACTAAATTGTCAAAATATTTGAGTCGGGTTGGCAAAATCTGTCCAGAATACGGGCTTTCTCTGTCCAGAATACTGGCTGTTTGAGGGCGCTGTTGTCCAGAATACGGGCTTTCTATGGCCAGAATAAGGGCTGTGAATTCTGTCCAGAATACGGGCTATAAAATCTGTTCAGAATACCGGCTGTATGGTGGCGCTGTTGTCCAGAATACGAGCTTTCTCTGTCCAGAATACGGGCTGTATGGTGGCGCTGTTGTCCAGAATACGGGCTTTCTTACGTCATATTCTATTTTTAGATTTTGGAACATCAGTGGAATGTAAACAGTAAAATTATTTTTTAAAAATAGCAAGCAAGAGTGTGGTAAATTGTAAATTTTACGATTTTTCATGGATTTCTAAACTACAGTTGTAGGCCCACATTGCAGTGCGGCATATAGGAAACTCATGTTTGCCTGGCCTAGGCCTAGACTCTGCCGCGTAGGCCAGGCTATAGGCCTACGCCAGTGGCAGCGTCAGTGGGAGCAGGGGGAAAGCCATATATATAAAGAGTTGCAACATTTCGCTCCTTGGTTTGCGAAAGTCACGTGGTATACACCGTTCATTTCGTGTCATGATCTTCCCGATGAACACATGCAAAGCTATATGAGTTACGTACACTGCATATTAATTTCACACACTTAATTGGGTTTACAATTATATTATTTTATAATTAGCATCACTTAGTATGGGCAGCGTATTAGAATTCATATATAATCCGTTCATAACATCAAGGAAAAGATATTATCAAGGTATATCATGCGATTGCAAATAATGTGCAAAAACCTAAGAGAAAAGCAAAAGAAAATGCATGATTCAAAATCACATGAACTATCAAGCAAAAGCATGGCTATGAGGAAAGTAGTAAAGTGGGCATAATTTCACTAATCAATTAAAGATGTTTAGGCGAGACTTTTTTTATATTTTGGATTAGCGAACCTCATATATATACATATATATATATATATATGTATA